ATACATATATATATATATATATATATATACCATGTAAACAATATCTAGTCACCAAACATTCAAAGAAAAAAAATAGTAACAATCCTACACAAAGTCTTTCAGAAAATGAATAAAAACAAACACTTCCCAACTCATCCTCTGAGGCCAAAGACATTGCAAAAAAAATTTTTTTTAAAGAAATGAAAAATTTTACAGACCAATATCTCTCATCTACTAAGATGCAAAAATCCTTAACAAAACATCAGCAAACCAAATTTAGCAACATATAAAAACGTTTATAACATATACATGACCAAGTGGGATTTATCTCAAGATTTTGAGTTCAACATCTGGAAATCATTAGTATCTCATATTAAGAGAAAGGCAAAACCACATGATCATCTCAATAGATAAAGAAAATAGACTAGACACAACCTAACACCTATTCATGATAAAAAGTCTCAACAAACTAGGAATAGAAAGCAATTTTCTCCATCTTATTAAGAACATAAATAACCTACAGTTAACATCATACATATGGCAAAAGACTGAATGCTTTACTTTTTAAGTTCAGAAAAAGGCAAGGATATCCACTATCACCACTTCTATTCAACACTGTACTGAAGGTTCTAGCCAGGGCAAAGGTTAGGAGAGAGAGAGAAGGAGGGAGGGGGAGATATAGGGAGGGAGATAGACAAAGAAAGACAAACTAAAAACCAAGAAGGACAACTATCTTAACTCTCAGACTACATGACCTCCTATGTAAAAAATCCTAAAGCCCCCCCCCATTGCATTTTTTCTATTGTGTAATAGTAAACTATTCGAATATGAGTTTAGTAAGACCATAGGACTCACAATCAATATACCAAAATAATTTGTATTTATATATAAAAATACCATTTAAAAACATTGTCTTTGTTGTATCAAGAAACAAGCAACAAAAAAGCAAAAAAGTGCAAGACCTGTCCACAGAAAATTATAAAACCTTTGTTGACAAAGGTTAAAAAAGATCTATATTTACTGAGAGAGATAACTTCATGGAATGGAAGACTCAGTATTTTAAGACAGCTCTTCTTTCTAAATAAACCTA